GTGGCAGAATGCTCGCCCACTTGAGACCCTTGATTCAATCGTCAGTGTCCCCCTGGGAGGACAACGAGAAGTGGGAATAGGGCTGCTGGGGTGGTTAACGGGTGTGGCCAGAATCCCACCTTTCCACTCTCCCAACTGAGTCAGTGTGGTAGGATCCAGGACTGTAACAGTAAGTGAGACAGAAGCCCTCCTGGGGAAGAAGTGCTGCATGAGAAGATAATGAACTGAGAAGAGTGGAGAGGATGCAGGGCAGCCTTGTTCAGGGGAGGGACTCCCCAAGGATGCGGCATCTGAGTAGAGTCGAGAAAGGACAGGAGGAACCTCAGGAGTTAGAGCAAGTGCAAAAGCCTGAGGTTGGCTGTGGGTCTAGAAACGAGCGTGGAGATGGAGAGCAGTCCAGCCAGAGACCAAACCTGAGAGCTATTTGGGAGAGACACCACGGAGAACCTGGCATTTGTCCCAAGGGACTCCGGGGGTCAACAAGGAAGTGACTGTGAGTTAGAAGAGAAGTTTCAGAACTGGGATGCACCAATGGGACATCCCAATATATACGGCTCGTGTGACCAGGCAAGCACTCCACCAACTGAGCCGCTCAGTTATAACTAGTTAACACCACAGCTTCTGCAGCCAGGTTACCCAAGTTGGAGACAGTCACTTCCTAGGTATATAAGTGACCTTGAAGAGTCACTTAATGTTTGCCTCAGTTTCTTTATCAGTTGAGTCTCATCTGCCTCACAGGAATGCATGAGAACTAATTAAGTTGATGTAAATGCAGCAGTGTTTTTAGCCAGGCTTTGTGCCGCTGCTGCAACCCAAGCACTTGGAAGGTAGAGAAGGTCAGCGCTGGGGAGGTGACTCCATCAAGATCTGAGTTCTAATACCAGCACCCACATCAGAGATAAAACGTCAGTGCTGTACATGGTGATACATGCCTTTAGTCCCAGCACTCAGGAGGCAGGGGCAGGCGATCTCTGGGAGTTCCAGGCCAGCCTGGTCTACAGCGCAAGTTCCAAGCCAGCCAGTGTGACATATTGAGACCTGTCTCCAAAAGTTGGAAGTGCTGGCAATATATATTATGTATTTATATAAATATATAAAAATATATTTATACAAATATGTACATTTATATAAATATAAACACACACACACACACACACACACACACACACACACACACACACACGGCCAATACTGGAAGAAGAGACAGCCAGCTCTCCAGAGCTTGTTAGTCATCAAGCTTAGCCAAAAAGTTAAGTTTCAGGGTCAGTGAAAGATCCTGTCTCAAGGCAATAATGTGGAGAACCATAAAGACAGACAGACAGACAGACAGAGAGACAGACACATACACAGAGCAAGAGAGGAACGTACCTGATGTCAACCTCTGTCCTCCAAGGTTGCCTGCAAACACACACTAAACCGAAAACAGAAGTTCAAAGTCCCTGTGGTTTCACAGCAAGTTCAAGTCCAGCCTATGTTACAGCAGATCCCGCATCAAACAAACAAGACAGTCAGGCATGGTGACACGGACCTGTAATCTCAGAACTTCAGAGGCAGAAGCAGGAGAGTCATGTCACCACAAGTCCAAGGTCGTTTGTCTTCCTATCAAGTTCTCTTGTAGAGGACAAATTTGGTCCCAAGTACCAACCCAGGGAGGCTCGCAACTCTGTGACCCCAGCTCTATAGGCATTTGAAGCCTCTGGCCTCTTGGGTAAAGAATTCAAGTGTGCACACCCATGCAAAGACCCACACATATACAGAATTTGCAAAATCAATCAAACAACAAGGCACACAGCACTCAGGAGGCAGAGACAGGCAGACAGATCTCTGTGAGTTCGAGGCCAGCCTGGTCTACATAGTGAGTTCCAGGACAGCCAGGGCTACATGGCAATGATGTATGATGATGATGATGATGATGATGATGATGATGATGAAAGAGTAATGAAAGAAAACCAGACTAAGGCTGTGAGTTCAGAAAGAAGAAAATAAAACCTCTTAAACTGAGGACAAAATGCTCAACCTCCTTTATAATGAGAAAAATGTGGTGGTGCCATTTTTTATCCTTCAGTTTGGCAAGTTACCAGCAGTTTATTAAGACTGCTGAGAAGCTGTGGGAAAACAGGTGCTCTCACCTAATGCTGATGGGAATGTAAATTGATTTAATCCCTGCAGAGACCAATTTGGCAATGTCTGTCAAAATTACAAATGCATATACCCTTTGACTCAACAATACCACTCCTAGGAATTTATTCCTCAGATGTATTTGCATACATGCTAACTGATCTATGAACAAGGTTAGTCATCACAGCAGTGTTTGAAAAAGCAAAAACCTGGAACTAATCCAAAAGTTCCCCTGTAGAAGCAGCTGAACAAATTCTAGTATATCTGTTAGATGGAATATTATACCACTAAGAAAAAGCAACACACTATAAAGAGGAATCTCCAAGAGCCTGGCATGATGCAGCTCTCTTGTTAGCCTAGCACTAGGAAGCTCAAGGCAAGAAGATGATACTGTCCAGGATAGCCTGGGAAACCCAGTTCAAAGCCAGCCTGTGACAGATAATAAGATCTCTCAAAAATCAAACCAAGGGGCTGGTGTGACAGCTCAATGGGGAAAGACACCCGCTAACTAACAACCTGAGCTTGGTCCCTGGAACCCACATGGTGGGAGGAGAAAACCAGCTCCCCAAAGACATCCTCCGACCTTCACAGGAGAACACACACACATACACACACACACACACACACACACACACACACACACACACACACCTACACATCATACACAAACACACACATACACATACTCCACACACATACACATACACACACACCTACACATCACACACAAACACACACCATACACATCACACACATACACACACTCCACACACATACACACACCACACACACATACATACACCATACACACCTACACACCACATACATATATACATACACCACACACTCTACACACATACATATATCACACATACACACACACCACACACATACATACACACATAAATTAAAAATAATAAATGTAGTCAGACTTCCTTTTCTTTCTTTCTTTCTTTCTTTCTTTCTCTCTTTCTTTCTTTCTTTCTTTCTTTCTTTCTTTCTTTCTTTCTTTTTTTTTGGTTTTTTGAGACAGGGTTTCTCTGTGGAGCTTTGCACCTTTCCTGGAACTCACTCTGCAGCCCAGGCTGGCCTCGAACTCACAGAGATCCACCTGCCTCTGCCTCCTGAGTGCTGGGATTAAAGATGTGTGCCACCACTGCCTGGCCCAACTTGCTTTGGATGAATAGCTCCCAAATAATGACACAGAGACTTATTATTACTTATGAAAGCTCAGCCTTAGTTTAGGCTTGTCCCACTAGCTCTTAAACTTAAATCAACCCACTTATATTAATCTGCATTCTGCCACGTGGCTCATTAAGTCTCCTCAGTACAGTAATTTGACTTCCTCTGTGTCTCACGGATGAATCCCATCCACCCCCCAGCCTTTCAGATTCTTTCCCCAGTTCCTCTCTCTCTCCAGAAGTCCTGCCTATCCTCTCCTGCCTAGCTATTGACCATTCAGCTCTTTATTAAACTGATCAGAAGGTGTCTTAGGCAAGTGAGGTAAAACAGAGACATCTTCACACAGTATGATCAAATATCCCACAACAAATAAATAAATAAATAAATAAATAAATAACCCCAAATAAAACAAAGATCTTCAGGATACCTCAGTAAACCTGGAAAGGTAACATACACTGATAATCCCTAAGTCTACTACCCAAAGGGCTTAGTAAGAAAGAGTGCCATCAGTTCCAGCCTAGCCTGGGCTACATACCAAGTTGGGACTATATAGACCCATCTCAATAAATAAATAAATCACTAACTCAATAAACAATCAAGGTTCAGAAAATAGTGTCTAATATATTAACATTTTCTGAGGGAAAAATGGACCAAATCAATATATGACACCATTTGTATATCCACAAGGCAGTTCTGGAGTGATAATGCAATACATGGCAATCACCACAGGTCTGACTTTTGGTAATTTGAACAGACTGGAGTGGGATGAATTTTGATTTTGTTTTGGTTTTAGTTTTTGTTTGTTTTGTTTGTTGAGACAAGGTCTCACTGTGTAGCCCTGGTTGTCATAGAACTCACTATGTAGACCACACTAACCTTGAACTCACAGAGATCCATCTGCCTCTGCTTCCCAAGTGTTCAGATCAAAGGCGTGTACCACCATGACCAGGTTTTAGGTTCCTTGAGCCAGTGTTCTATTACAGACCAGCCTAATTTTGAACTTGGAATATGGGCAAGACCAGCCTTCAACTCCAAATTTTCCTGCCTCCACTTCTCAAGTAGAGTAGAAAATGTTTTTAAGTAATTGAATCATGAGAATGCATGGCTTACTCAAAGTAAAGTATAGCAAAACTATGTTTAAATGGGTTACGGGGGCCTCTTTGAAGTCACCAGGCCTATTGAAGTGACCACACACATGCACAGGGACTTGCAGAGCTGGTGCTGGTGTGTGTATATGTGTTACGTTCTGTTTTGGACCCAGATGGTCTAGACACACTGGATGTAAATATGGCTGTGGCTTTGACTGCTTCTGGATTTATTTTATATATGTGTGTGTGTGTGTGTGTGTGTTTTATATATGTGTGTGTGTGTGTGTGTGTGTGTTTGCCTGAATGTATGCATTGCATCACACGTATGTCTAGAGCCTGAATAATTCAGAAGAAGGTATCAGATCCTCTGAAACTAGAGTTACAGAGAGTTGTGAGCCACCAGACAGGTGATGGGAACCAACCCCAGGTCCTCTGCAAGAAAAGAAAGTGCTCTTAACCACAGAGTCATCTCCCCAGCCCTTTGGGCAAGTGTGATGGCTGTTCTTGGTTGTCAACGTGACTACATCTGGAATGAACTACCATCCAGAAATGGAGAGCACACCTGTGATTCAGATCTTGAGACAGAGAGACAACGTGCCTTTAATCCAGATCTTGAGTTGGAAAGCACACCTTTAATCTGGGCCACACCTTCTGCTGGAAGCCTATATAAGGATAATGGAGGAAGGAAGGTTTGCCTGCTTGCCCTCGAGTTGTCCGGACTTCCATTCCCTCACTGGAGCCTTCTCCGGGACTCCAGAAGAGCAGCTGAGACACCCAGCCTCATGGGACAGAGCGTTCTTGGACTTTCCATTCACAGCCAGCCATTGTTGGATTAGTTGGACAGCAGCCTGTAAGTCATTCCAATATATATATGAGAAAGACAGACAGACAGGGATTCATTTCATAAATTCTGTGACTTTAGAGAACCCTAATATATTTTTTTATTTGTTTGTTTGTTTGATTGGTTTTTCGAGACAGGATTTCTTTGTGTAGCCCTGGCTGTCTTGGAACTCACTCTGTAGACAAGACTGACCTCAGACTCATAGAGATCCACCAGCCTCTGCCTCCCAAGTGCTGGGATTAAAGGACTGCACTACCACCGCCCAGCTCTAATTTTTTTAAGTTTTAATTTTATATATGACTGTGTGTGTATGCATGTGTGCAAGCAAGTGCCAACAGAGGCCAGAAGGCATCTGAATCCCTGCGCCTGGAGTTGTGAGCTGGTTCTGGATGCTGAGAACTGAACTCAGGTTTTCTACAAGAACACAAAGCACTCAACTACCAAGCCATTTCTCTGACTTCAAACCCTATCTCCTGATTCCTAACCTTTTCACTGTCTCATTTTGTAACTTGAGCTTTTTGTTTGTTCTTAGGATTGTATTGGTGAAATTATTAAGGCCACTCCACATAGTTAAAAGGAAGATTTATTTAGTGGGTAACTTACAAATTAAGGAATAGGTAGATCGCTGGGTCTGGGGAAGGTGTATCGCAATCCAGCAGTGTTCTCTGGAGCTCTGCTAGGTCAACCTCCCCCGTTCAGTGTCCCGGCACAGAGAGAGCGCACAGAGAGCCCATCCAGGTCTCAGGGTCTCCAGACACCTCCCCTGGCCCCGCCTCGTAGGCGTGACAGTTGCCAGAGTCTCAATGGGGGTTGTAACTTCCAGATCCAAGCTGGAATGGCTACCCACTACAGGATTGCTTTTGTTTTTATGTTTGTCATGAAAAGCAAAAACTGACCTGGAATTCCTGTTCCCCCATCCTCTGCCTCCATGCTGGGATGACAGCTGTGAGTCACCATACCTGAACATTAATTTTTCAAAGAATGGGGCAGATAGGAAGATCATTTTATCCTGGATCATTCTTGCCATATTGCAGCTGTAGGAGTGGAATTTGGAATATAGATGTGTACTCATAAAGGTTTCTTGTGCTGGGCAGTGGTGTCTGTACCCCTTTAATCCTAGCACTTGGAGGCAAAGGCAGGTGGATCTCTGTGAGTTCAAGGCCAGCCTGGTCTACAAACTGAGATCCGGGACAGGCACCAAAACTACACAGAGAAACCCTGTCTCAAGATTATCCAGGGATGGGGCTGGGGATTTAGGTCAGTGGTAAAGCGCAAGACCCTGGGTTCATCCTCAGCTAAAAAAAAAAAAAGATTATCCAGGGCTACATACTCACTGACTCAAAAAACAAACAAACAAACAAAAAATGCTCATTCTATCTCAGTTTGGTGGCCCACACCTTTAATCCCAGCGTGGCAGAGGCAGGTCGATCTCAGAGTTTGAGACCCTGTTTCAACAAAAACAACAAAAAGTGCAAGGTCATTTCCAGGCAATGGAAGAACTTGTGTCAAAACTGATATAATCTTTGAGAGGACACTTTGGCAGTACCTATCAATACAAATATGCATGGCCTTTGACACTGTAATTCCACATTTAGGACTTTAACCTAGAGATATGTCTATATTTATGCCAGAAGATAAGTGTATGGGATTCCCTTGTTTGTCACAGGGAAAACAGGAAATAGCTTAATTATCCACTATGGAGAAATGGTGAATCATTTATGGCATTGAAAAGATGGGCATAGTGGTTCATACCCATAATCCCAGCACTAGGAGGTAGGGGGATAGGAAGACCAAAAGTTCAAGGCCAGCCTCAGTGCCATAGTGAGTTTAAGGCGTGTCTGTTTCCATGAGACCATCTTAAAGGGTATGTATGTGCAATAGAGCTCCGTTAACAAGGCTGGAGTGAATGAGACCATCTTAAAGGGTATGTATGTGCTACAGAACCCCACTAACAAGGCTGGAGCGAATGAGACCATCTTAAAGGGTATGTATGTGCTACAGAACCCCACTAACAAGGCTGGAGTGAATGAGACCATCTTAAAGGGTATGTATGTGCTACAGAACCCCACTAACAAGGCTGAAGTGAATGAGACCATCTTAAAAGGTATGTATGTGCTACAGAACCCCACTAACAAGGCTGGAGTGGTCTAGTCTCACAATTGCTCCGGGGTAAGAAGAATGGGAGAAAGGCAGAAGTAGGCGAGCTTTACTTTGACTATTTTGCCATTGTTAGAACTGTTAACCATGACCAAATAGTTTTATTTAACTTTTAATTTCAGGCTAGCTTCAAACTTGTGTAGCAATCTTCCTGCCTCAGCCTCTTGAGCCTTGGGGTTAAAGGCATATACCACTTTACTTGGAAAATATTATTTTGTTTTTGAGACAGGGTCTCACTATGTAGCTCTGGCTGGCCTTGAACTCACAGGGATCTGCCTGCCTCTACCTCCTTAGTGCTGGCATTAAAGGTTTGTGCCACACCCCACAAAAAAGACTATTTTTCCAAAGGGCATATACCTGTAATCCCAGCCAGCACTTAAGACATAGACAGGAAGCTGGGCGGTGGTGACATACGCCTTTAGTCCCAGCACTCAGGAGGCAGAGGCATGCAGATAGATCTCTGTGAGTTCGAGGCCAGCCTGGTCTACAGAGTGAGTTCCAGGACAGCCTCCAAAGCTACACAGAGAAACCCTGTCTTGAAAAACAAACAAACAAACAAAAGACATAGACAGGACAATCTTGAGTTCAAGGTCAGCCTATGCAACTTATCCAGACTCGGTGTGTAAGACACTGTTAACTATTTAGCAGTATCTGGTGGTACTTCTAGGCAGCCAGGGATATACATCAATACCCTGTCTCAAACAAACAAAAAGGGAATGGCAAATCAACTCAACGAAGTCCTCTAATTCCGCACTTGTGCTGTGCCAAGTGGCCCCTGAGCGAAACAAACAAAAAATCTGGGGTAGAGTGAGATTGGGGCAGGGTGGGGGTTCCTGCAAAAATAAGTTACTTATGAGGCTATAAGGAATTCAACAGAGCCGGGCGGTGGGGGTGCACCCCTTTAATCCCAGCACTTGGGAGGCAGAGCCAGGCGGATCTCTGTGAGTTCGAGGCCAGCCTGGGCTACCAAGTGAGTTCCAGGAAAGGCGCAAAGCTACATAGAGAAACCCTGTCTCGAAAAACCAAAAAAAAAAAGAATTCAACAGAACATTTCTTCCATACCTACTGCATAGCAGGTACTCAATTTAGTTTATTTCCATATCCATATCCTTGGGGCTGGACTGATTCTAACTATTGAAGGTAATGAAAACTTGGAAACAGTATCAGATCTGTGTTCTGAATATTTGTTTTTTGTACATCAAGACAGCATCTTCTGTCTCTAGCTGACACTGAACTTAGGCTGTAGCTGAGGATGGCCTTGCATTCCAAATCTTCCTGCCGCCTCCTCCCAAGTTCTGGGATTTCAGGCCTGTGCCATTATGCCTAGACAACTACGTCGGTTTAATACATAATTTATTCACCTCTGGTGGGCTGCTGGCTGTTTTTTTCCTGGAGACAGAGTTTCTCTGTGTAGCCCTGGCTGTCCTGGAACTCCCTCTGTAGACAGGCTGGTCTCTATCTGCCTCTGCCTCCCTATTGCTGGGATTAAAGCTGCACCACCACTGCCAGGCTGCTGCAGGCTGTTCTAATTAAGTACGGCTAACCAGCCAAGCTGACCTGGCACTTGGAAGCCACGTGCGAGGCTTTCATAGACTGTGAAGCTGAAGTGTGCAAAGGGAAACAGCCACAAAGAAAAACTGAGCGTGGCAGGTTAAAGGCACCACACTGAAAGATGATGGCCCGGACTACAGTCTATAAGCGTTGTTAAACTAGCAATAGGGATTTCGGTGTTTTAATTTTTAGGATGGACTTATTGTTGAAGCAGGCTGGAGGTAAATTTTTAAGGCAGCTTACTCAATAACTAACTAGCCACCGTTTCCAGGGCTCTGAGATCACCAGGCGCCCAACCTGCACGCCCTACAGTTCATGCCAACCTCTGCCTGGGTTATTCTCGTCGCCAGCCGCGGTGCCCAAACCCAGGCCTCTACAATGGATCCCAGGCCCAGGGCCTACGATCCGGCACCTACGTGCTCTTTTTGGTCCGGTCCCTCGCCTCCGCCTAACGGGATGCAGAAACAACAGGGCGCGCCCTCCGTTTTCAGAGCGCAGACCCGAGCCGAGAGGCGGGCGGGAGGGCGCCGGGGTCCCAGGCCGAGGCCCCTCCAGTTGGCGGGAGCCCGAGGGGGCGGGCCACCGGGGGACGAGGGAGGCCGAGCGAGCCGCGGCGCGCGCGGCGCTCAAACTCGCGCCGCCTTTAGCTCACGATCGAGCCCCACCCTCCCCGTCACCGAAGGCGCCCAGCCAATGGGCGAGCCGGAAAGGCCGGGCTCGCAAGCTCGGGACCGGGAGGGGGAGCCACGCGAGGGGGAAGGGAAGGGGAAGGCGGGCTGCACTTGACGGACAGCTCCCTGCAGCCAATCCTCCGAGCGGCTCCTCCGCTCTCGTCTTGGCTGGGCTCCGTTCTTCGTCCCTCCTTCTCTCCCTCCACCCCCCACCCTCCCGACTCACTCCTCGGCGTCCCGCCCCGCCTCCCCTCCCCCACTCTGCGGGCAAATCACTGCTGGAAAGAGGCGGGGGCCGAAGCGGCAGGCGCGTGTGGAGCCTTGGGGCCGGATTGACGGGCGCCGGGGCCAATCAGAGGTAGGCTGGTGGCGCGGCTGTGGCCGGGGCCGACCAATGGGCGCGCGGCCTGGGGGCGGAGGCCCAGGTTCCAAACGCTCCGCGGCGCCATGGGCTGAAAACTCAACCGAGATGGAATCTCCCAGTCTGAACCGGTTTCAACCGGTTCCGAGTTTGAGGCACTAGGAGGAGGGGGAGAAGCGGCTGCAGCGGCCGCGGCAGGAGCAGCGGGAGCTTCAGCATCCGCAAGAGCAACAGTAGCTACAGCCCCGGCGGCCGTGCCTGTTCCAGCCTTTGCTGCAGCAGCCGTGCAACCATCCCGCGGGGGAGGGGGGAGCCACCAGTCGCCGAGGAGCACGCGAAGGGGGGAAAGTTTAGGCGAGCCCGGGTGGGGGGGCCGGCGCCGAGCGGCGTGAGCCAGGGAGCCAGCCCTGTGTGGTAGGGGGAGCCGGGCTGCAACTGGCGGCAGAGCGGCCCCGGCCGTGCGGACTCGCGCCGCTGCTCCCGCCGCCGCCTGTGGCCGGAGGGTCCTGGGCTCCGTCTCCCGGACTGGCCCGCTCCCCTCCCCCTTCCTTCCCTCCCCAGCCGGGCGGGAGCATTGATTCCTCGGATTAATTCCCCTCTTTGGTGGGGCGCGCGTGTGAGTGTGTGTGTGTGCGTGCGCGTGTGAGTGTGCGTGAGTGTGTGTTGGGT